CGGAATTGCAAGTACATCATTTTACCTAAAAAGATACTTAATAGCCAATTTTTGTTCTTCTTTCAACTGTGTGGGATCGACACCAAACTTCTCACAGACCTTAAAATTAAATAGTAAAAAAATAACATAGGTCACAGTCATGTTTAAGTAGTACCACTTGAGTGGTGTATTACCAGGTTTTTAATAAGACAATAACACGAATCGAAAGATAACTCTGACTACTATAGAACAGATGAGCATTGGTCAGATGCGTTTGTTTGGGGGGGGGGACTTAACTTTTTAATCAAATAAACTGATGTGACTCTTGCTATGTTCACACGGCAGCATTCTATCGGAGCCGAACTACTGCTCCTCCCACTGATTAACAGGAGCTTATCTCCAATGCGTTCATACGGTCAGGAGCCGAATGAGAGCCGAGATCTGATCTGACACAGTTCGATTCAGTTCAATCAGAGCCAAACGGAACAGTGCCCTAAAATAATAAGTATGAAAAAACTGGAGTGAAATCGATTTTGGTGTCGTGTTTGTGTTGTTTCTTTACATGGTACGATGCTGATGGGCTAGGAGAAAAAAAAGTCGTAAGTCTGAGCATGGAGGTAGAAAAGACAATGCACTAGTGTTATTATTTAGGTACATGTACTAGTACCTTGAATAAACAGGAAACACGGCAGCTAAAATGTGTTACAGCCTATTATTTATTGTCATGCAAAATTACCATTTTGTAATGATTCAACCGTTAGTGATATCTACTACAATGTAGTACTATGAAGAATCACAGCCCCTTTATCCTCTCTATATATCATAGACGGACTGCGGAAGAATCTAAACCTACTAGATTGCTTCTACGATTTTTTCTTTCATGTCTTTAAAAAGTTCCTGTTCAGTCGTTCTTTCAAGTTTTGTTGCATAATGTCGTACGCCATTTTTCCCGTTTTCCATTGAGCTATCAATCTATAGCAGTGGCAGTAATTCTTTGCTCTGACAAGTGTATATTAGGGCGCGTACCTCTTCTTCAAGCCGGAAATTGCGTGAAATTACAAAATATGTTGTCTCTGCCATAATTGAAATGATAGGTTACTTGAAGAAGACGATTGAGGGCGTGATTTTGGCTCCGATAGTTGGCCCTGATGCGTTTAAACGATCGGAGTTCAACCCCAAGAGTTTAGTGGAGCCGAACATAGCTCGAGTTGAACGCGTTCACACGACCATTTTTGCTGGCTCGAGCCGTAGGGCTCCGATAAAATGCTGTCATGTGAACGTAGCATATAGCATAAGGGGATGTTTATTATTTTATCAAATAATGCAAGATACTGGGTAGTGCGAGATGTACACATAGTCCCTCTATCTCTGATCTGGAAATGAGGATAGAGGGATTGTGACAGGGAGTAGTATTAGTTAGATCCTAATTTATTTTCTTTTTTTCTAGGTTAAAGATTGACAGTACTGGTAAACACTAGCCATGCAATACAAAATACTAGTAATTTGTGACTTGTGTGAATAAAAAAGAAGAAAAACATCAAAAACTGGGTGGAGAGGTGTAAGACCCTGAGTTTGTTTATGTTTGATCTAATGTAGCTTGTAATCAAACAAACCAGGGTTTAGTCGAACCTGGATTTTACCCATCAAGCTTTGCAAAATTTTAGTTTTTGTCTTGTTATTCAGGGTAGATAATCAAATTTACCTAATTTTTCCCTTTTAAATATCTATGAAAATACCATTTTGGTTATAGGTATGCTAATGTTTCCGGCTTTACAGTTGTGCTCCTGCCATGTCGCTCGATCACAATGAGTTTTAATTTGACAAATATTCAAGTGCAAATGCAGTTGTGTCACTTTCTAATTCCATCCATTTCATTACAGATGCTATGTATGTAAAGAAAACGAACTTTGAAAGGTTCGAATGCATGATTTTATGCCATAGTCCTGGCGCGTTTCAACCCTTGGGATATTTTACTATAATAGGGTGTGTCTACATCGCACGGTAACAAAGTTGTGATGAAGGAAAGAGTGGTATAAACAAAGATCAGTGATTACTTGATATCGATACCAGGAAGGGGGGGGGGGGTAAAAGAAAAGTTATATAACATTTTATTATTTAATAATTTATTAAAATACATAAGTTTGTCCAACTCCCTGTGGTCTATCTTTAAATAATCTCCACAATTGAGACAAAACATATGCAAGTTATTGGAGCTTCCTGCTGAATATTAAATGACTTCAATCGTTAATTGCGTGAGTTCAGTATATCAAGTTTTCAAACGCTATGTCCACAAAAACTACGAAATGTCCACACAACACTGTCGACGCCATTTGATTTTTATATGCGAAAAATCAAAATAATGACAAATACTGCTATAAATTTGCTCACTATGTATTCATAGACATAGATATCATAGACCAAAGTAGGAGATACTAAAAATGCTGTAACTCAGGCGAAAATTGGCCGACTTGAATGATACTACGAAAACACATGAAACAGATAAATGCGAGTGCATTCTGAAATCTTCGGGTTAACGTGTGTCAACAAACTCACAGCAAGTTATGCCAAGGCACGCATCCTAGGGGCGTAATCTTCAAGTTTCAAGTCCGAGAAGCTAAATAACCAGTCGGCCATCGAACGCAAAGTTACGCAACAGGACAACAGCTACAAACAAGACAATATGCGAAGTATGCAAAGAAACAACGATTGTTTGTCAGTAACAATTACGAAATTCATCGAAACACGCATAAACCTACCTCGAACTTCACCTCTGCAGCAGTACATGTGTGGTCAGCCATTTTTTCATCTGGAGTTCTACGCTTGCACAAAACATGAGTTTAACTGCTTTGTTAGACGCTCTGTGATTAGCTGAGGAAATTGCCTGGTTCAATCATTACACTGTGAATAGTTGTTATTGAATAACCAGCAGTAACTACACATTATCTGTTGAAAGGGGTTGTTCACATTGATGAATAGTGTTTATTGAATAACCAGCAGTAACTATGTATTTACTGTTAACCGGAGTTGATGTTTACACTGGTGAATAGTTATTGAATAACCAGCAGTAACTACACATTATCTGTTGTCAGAGGTTGTTCACATTGGTGAACAGTGTTTATTGAATAACGAGCAAACATGAGTTTGACAGCTTTGTTAAGACGCTTTGTGATTGGCTGAGTAAATTGCCTGGTTCAATCATTGTTGGAACGAGAGTTCCTATGCGGGTTGTTCAGATCCCAGTGGCTTTCACAAACCATGGAAGGTACTAACGGACAAAACCATTTTTGCAGCAAAATAATTGTAACATCTAAAAATAATTTAAATAAATAATAATTATAGTAATTATATAAAAAAAAAATTAAGCCAACCAGTATCTTATTTTAATCAGATTGAACCAACAGTAACTACACATTATCTGTTGACAGGGATTGTTCACACTGGTGAATAGTTGTTATTGAACAACCAGCTGTAACTACACATTATCTGTTGAAAGGGGTTGTTCACATTGGTGAATAGTGTTTATTGAACAACCAGCTGTAACTACACATTATCTGTTGAAAGGGGTTGTTCACATTGGTGAATAGTGTTTATTGAATAACCAGCAGTAACTATGTATTTACTGTTAACCGGAGTTGATGTTTACACTGGTGAATAGTTGTTATTGAATAACCAGCAGTAACTACACATTATCTGTTGAAAGGGGTTGTTCACATTGGTGAATAGTGTTATTGAATAACCAGCAGTAACTATGTATTTACTGTTAACAGGAGTTGATGTTTACACTGGTGAATAGTTTGGATAAAGGCAATGTCCCTCATGCTACATTGGATCAGTCTGGATATATAGAAATTGCAGCCTGTATGGAAAGAATTATGGTCATGCACCCATCAAAGATATTGGTGAGTTTCTGACATGTGATATTCTTACTATTAATGTAATGGAAATAATGGAAACAGTATTATGTTTTGAATAAGTTTCAAAATGGATGTCTGGTGGCAGATTTGTTTTTAAAAAATTCTGTTCCTGGGCCAATATTATTGACGTGTCTGGATTAGCATACATGCTACATAATGAATTTATATAGTTGACTGCCATAAATGTCCATTGTTCATATTTCTCTAATTACATAATTAGATTTAATATTAACTTTAATATTTAGCATAGCATGTCATTTTACTGATTGTGTGTCAACATTTTACTTTTTCGACTTCTTCTTAAAAACCTTAAAAGTCTAATTGCTAAGTTGATACTTGGTGTATATGTACCTTGGGTAGACCTCTCTTAGATTTGTTCATTTCATTGGAAAGTCTGATTCCTTTGATATTATATATATATATACCTGTAGGTCCCTCTGGTGGGCCTCTCTTTGTTCATTTCGTGATTATATCTTCAATTCTCTAATTTAGATGAATATTTTTGTCATTTTTGGTAAAAAGTGGTATTTTAGACTTCTTGTTGAAAACTGCAAGTCTGATTGTTTTGACATTATGCAAATTGATGGTCAATGTTATACAATAATTTGACATATAATGTTGATGTGTCATTGGGAATGCTATATTATATGATTATGTGATATTATTATCAATTCAATGAATTTGTTTGTGTATCTATCAATATTTGCAGAGACAAAGAGCAGTAGAGTTCATAAAAGTTTACATCACAAAGTTTGATTGTCAAGGAAGATACAAGTTAATACGGCATCTTATTTCTAACACTAAACATGCCGGCGTATCTGGATTATTGACTGGTATTGTGAAAGATGAAATTAACAATGCATTACAGGTATATACCATTCTATGTTGAAAGCATTCTCTTAGCTAGCATGAGTGAGTCTCTTCAAACACAAATTGTTACCCATCATCCATCATTTTTACCCATCATCCATCATTTTTACCCATCATCCATCATTTTTACTTGTCCAGTCTATGTGAGGGCTTATAAATCAATTCTGATGTATGTTACTGGATGGGTTTTTCAGTGTCTGTAGCAAAGTGTGTCTATAGTTTTAACTGTGTCTGGCTGGATGGGTTTTCAGACTGACCCATGTCTGTTGCTGGGTGGTTTTATAGATTGTGAATGTACATGCTGCTGTTATTCAAACTTGGTATGAATGTCACTTATTGCTTTTTATTGTGTTTTGTATTCACAGATAAATGAAGGTTTGGAGTGGTTCGCTGGAAAACAGTTAATGGATTTATTAAAAATACCAATGAAATTAGAAAAAGGTCCGTTTAGTGATTTCTTACATGAGTCTGACAGGTATGGTAATTGCATTTTTTGTTGTTTCATTGTTTTGTAAGAATTGATGAGTATAGGTTTACAGAACAGAAGTATAAGATTGATGGACTGTTCTATAGTATTGGGGAAAGCACATTAAATATTGATATGGAATATACTATAATTATATTCATGTTTCAGAATAATGGCAGCTTTAAATCTTTTGAGGTACTTATTTTTGAGAGATTCTGTGAGAGATAACAGAACTGGAATATGGAGTGAATATGAAAACATTGAAGAAGACTTTTTAAACGTGTTATTGAAGGGTATAGGACTATCCAGAAATCACTTTGCACAGGAATTACAAGATGTTAATAAACAGATAAGGAGTAAGTTAACTTGTATATACTGTACAATGTTACTGTCAAATTCATTATTTTTACATGAATTTTATTTTCACAGAAGGTTGTTTTGCACGAAAATTAGAATCCATCTTTTTTTTAATTAACTAACATTTGTGTATTTTGATACTGAAAAGTCAGGTACCTATTGTCAGCAGAGGTGAGTGACCTTTGCATTGCAATGCTGTCAGTTGTCAGTGTTATTGTGGTCATAGCTTTAAGGTATAGCTCAATAAAAAAAAGTTACATTGTTACAAAAAACTATTACCGGTACATCATGTGACTGGTGAAAGTATTATGTATGACATGTCAGATCTCAAGATACATGTAATGTTTACCTCATTACCAATGTGTTTAAACACTGTTGTGATGAATCAATTGAGTTCATCTTTCTGTCTTTCTTTGTTTAAGGTAAAAAATCCCAAGACAGCAAAATTTCAGTGACAGTTTCTGGTGAACAGCTTCCAGGCTTACTGCCAGAACAGCAGTTACAGGTAATGTAATGCATGTTTCCATGATATAAGAAAATATACAAAATCCAAACAATTACTGTTTATGACTAGAAATTGTCTTGACTTAGTGTTTGCTGTATTTTTGATTTCTGTGTGAGTAAAGCACACAGTGGGAGTCTTTGTGGTTACCCTGTCCGTAAGTATGTATGTATGTATGTACATTTATCTATGTCTGTTCCACCATTATGTCAAGAACCAATCATTGCAATAATGTGTGCTGGCCTGATGAGTTTCGAGTTAAAATACATGCATATTAATTATCTAATTTGCATGAGAATTATAAATTTTTTACTTATCTCAAGGACTTATCATCACATATCAATGAAACATAGTTTGTACCTACACATGCTGCACAAGTATTCTATTATAAATCCGCAAACTGTATAAACTGCAAACTGACTGTACAATCAAATGTATTTATTTTGTAATAACAATTGTCATTATAAACTTCAATGCTTTGGGTAACATCTCAAATAACAACCTTACACTAGTCTCCTGGTTTTTAAATATTCCACATTTAACTCGACATGCCTCAAATTCTGTCAACGTGTGGGAATTCTTTCTAAGCTTTATTTGATTCAATGAGCCAATGAATGTGTGATGGTGTCTTTAAATGTTTAAACATGTCACTACTTTTAATGAATGTGTCACTAGATGGGTGAATGTGTCATTAAACATTTGTGTGTGTCATTAAATTTGTCATGTGTGAATGCATCACCAAATTTTTGAATGTGTAACTACATGTGTGGGTGTCTCATTAAATGTTTTGTGTATTGCAGCATGTGTTCATGTGTCACCACATGATTGAATGTGTCACCACATGATCGAATGTGACACCACATGATTGAATGTGTCACCACATGATTGAATGTGTCACCACATGATTGAATCAGTGACATGTCATCTCGGCTTAGATGGAACACAGATCAGATTGTTGATAATGCAAGAGAGGCTGCTTGGTTTGAATTTGAGGATGTTTCAACTCAATTAAAGACTAGGTATTTTGAATTTTATACAAAATGCACATCTTATTCCTCTTTAGATTGTCATGGTAACTTTAATCATTGTGTTGTGTTACAGGTTGTGAGGTCAGCTATATGTACACTGGATATGATGTCAGATGTATTAACAAGAGTATTTGAAGTCATGACGTTAGAAAGAAAGAAAACTGGATCATCAATTTAATTTTTGTACATGTATGATGTTGTGACAGTTAAAACATACTTTTCTAACAGACCATATGTTTCTATGTGCAGTTATTACACTCTAAGTAAATTGAGAAATCCATATCTGGTTTGTAAACATGAAATATCGGATTATGCAATTCTTTTATTTGATCTCTCTGTATTTAATTTAGTTAAATTTGAAATCACACTTTGCAAATCAAATCTGTGAGACACCATTCCCTGACATAAACCATCAAAGATTGAGATTGTGATGAATAATTATCTGCAGAATATTAATTTAAGTGATCCTCCTAGATTAGGCTAGATTTGTTTACAATAAACACTCATACTCAAGAGGCTTATTTATCAAAGATGGAAGGGAAAGGTATATTAAGGGAAAAATTTCTGTCCGGCGTTGTTGTCGTTGTTAATAATTGTTATTGTGTACACAATAGCTTTACTAATTCTATTCCAAACTTCATCAAATTCAGCAATATAAAGTCTTCTCTTAGTATAAACGAACAGATGTCCTGTATGAAAATATGATGCAAAAATTGTGAAGATCTGATAAAATATTTTGACTGTTTCTACTTGACTGATCACTAGTGATACACATCAAAGGTCACTGATCTCAGTGGAAATATGCATTGTTGTATGTGTTCAATGAAGCAAATCATTTATCTTGTAATAATATATTTAGTAATGTATCACCCAAATCCCATGGGAATACCAGACTGGCTTTCAAAACCAACTCATGGACAAGTTTTTGCACAGTCTGATACACATTTGCAAACCAATAAAATCTTTACAGAAAACAAGATGTCAGAAAATCAATATAAGCACTCCTAAGAACTGGGTGCCAAACTTTGATAAAAAAAAAAAAAATCTGTTTAGTTATCAAATCAAAAACATTACATAAGAAATACATAAAAAGCAAAACATTGCATCCACATTTTGAAAAAATATTGTACTCAAAAATAGGTATTTTGTCTTTGACAAACATTTCATTCGACAAATGAAAATTCACAGGAATTTGTTTCAGCTAATAGAACAGAATGATAGAGCTTTTAAAACGCACTTCAAAAACAAAGATTGCAGTGTTTGAAGATGTAGATTCTCAGGGAGGCAAAAGTACAGTAGTCACACAATGAATATAATAAGGCAGTTCATATTTGTCTCAGTAAATCATTATTTTTTGACAGACACCTGTACAAAATACTTGGGCAAAAGCCAGCTAAGATTTTCTGGTATCTTGCATGATTTATGAATCTATTCATGTCTAAATGTGGCATTTTTTTTATAACAAAATTTATCTGAATTACTTTGAATAAAGCTGGGAATCATGTCCCTTAAAATGATTAAACAAATTAGGCACCAATGTTTTTGTAAGATATTTACATCTATCAAGGACATTTGGTAAACTGCTTTCCCACTGTTGTTTCAACCCGAAAACTTGTTTGTATTCAAAATTAATTATGACAATGCATATTCATATTCATATTGAAACAAACTATTATAAAGGGAATAATATTATATAACAAAGGGCAAGGTCACCAGAGTTCAACTATGTTTTATCTATGATGTTGCAGATAAGTTCGTGTAAATAATAAAACTCTTTAGTAGTCTCAAAATAAAATGGGTAGGAAAGTCAGGATATCAACTTTAATATATATTTTTTTAGCTGAAACAGCATAATTTAAACACATTTTATATTGTAAGCTTGTCATGAGAGAGGTGATTGACATATTTGCAAAGTTGGAATGCAACCGATTACGGAATTCCAACTTGCTTCAGCCAGTTCCATTGTTAATGAGTTGATATAGTTAGATATTGTCTAACAGACAAATATGAAACCAGTTCATCTAGTCTCTGGTACTTAGCTCCTAAATAGTAAATAGTGTGCATGGTGACTGAGACAGCCACGGTAAAAAGTGGCAGCTGTGTGGTGAAGAAAATCTACCTGTTGTGGCATAGTGGAATAGAAAATATGTTTTTGGTGTGTGTCACAAACTGTTGTCTTGGTGTTTGGTAATTTAGCATATAGATCAATAGACAGAGCTGTCAGAGATTGAATAGATATTCTGCAGATCCAAGATGAGATCTGCTACTCTGTGTGTTAACTGTTGGTTTGTTTGACTTCCCTTGATCTACTTACACTGTATACTGTGTTGAGTGAACCAGTGAATCTTTACTGTCCCGCCCTTTTATAAATGTGACTGACAGTTATGGCATTGTCATACCTCACTCATATAAATTTCTGCAAGTTTTTAATAAAGGTGAACAGCAGAGCCTCAAACTTGCCATGTTTAATTGAATTAGGGAGGTACATGTACCCTCTTACAACACAGGGTACAAAACAACTGTTAAAATATAGGATGAGGGTTCAGGAAATGCCTGAAAATACATTAGTATGTGAAGCATACAAGCTTGGTATTAAGATGCATGATTCTGGTACTAAAAACTGGGTATCTGGTGTGAAAAAGATTCTGGAAAACCTAAATTTAAGTAATATCTGGAAAGATGGGCAAATTAAATACAGCAATGCTACTATTGAAGACATTACAGAAAAACTTAAAATGCAATTCCAGAAAAAAAGTAAAGAATGCATGTTTGATGATGATAAGGGCGTGCATCACAAAAACAAATTGAGAACATACAGAGAAATAAAAACTGATTTTTCTTT